AACCATCCTCTCTCCCCTGTACCCCTGGGAGCATCACCAAGCAGGGGGAGATCCCTGAATATCCTATTTTGGCACCTCCTTTTTCTGAAACGAAATTCTAGGGAGGGAAGAACACACCAGGCTGTGTGAATTTGGGAATAAAACCTCCCAAAGTTGTTATATTATATTTGAATTCCTTTGTCCCAATGCTTACAAAACTCTGGGGACTCCAGGAGTAAAATTTCAACCCAGAGCCTTGTGCCAATGAGAAACAAAATCTCTGCAGGTTTTGGAACAACACTATCAACATTTTTTAACTGAATTTTCCTTAAAATGGCATTTCCACCCCTTTATTTTAACAGCCTCTACGCATATCCTACCCCAGCAGCAAGAGGCTGATGACCTTCAGGCATAAAAATTTACAGCACTGTTGTTTTTTCACATGATTTGGGATTTTGTTTGCTGGGTGGTCCTTTGTTGGTGCTTTTTCCCAATGCTTCCTTAGATTTTCAGGGATGGTTTGTCCATTCAATATACCCCTCTGCATTTGGGATAAGCAGGTTTTTGGGAGCCTCTTTCTTGCTGCCAAAGTTTCCCCATCGTCAGAGCACAGAAACATCAGGCTCAGCCCCAGTTTCCTTTGGGAAACACTGCCTGATCAACACACATCTGTTTCCAAAGATTTCAGTTTTTTTTCCTCCAAAACTGATGGCAAAAAAATATGTAGAGAGGAAAATATAGGCTGTCTCTTAAAATAAAATATTGCTGTTATTTTTATAGGGGTAAAGAAATGCACATGAGGATGTGTGTGGAGGAGGAAAATAATTAATCCCACCTTAATAAAGTCATAGATTAAGCACCACTATCCACTGCTTGAAGTTTTGCTGCTTTACAAAATCCATGAGCATTTATAACATATTATCTACTTCACCATGACTGTTCTATGCAACATATGAACTTGTATTTGGTAATACAGTAACTTTTTTAATTAAGGAATTGAATTATTAATAAGGTGACAGTGATAGGTTTATTTTTATGTTTATTGTTGCTTTATTTACAACTTAAAATCAACTGTTTGGAGATTTGCAGGGAGTAAATAGCTGTTTATTTGAGCTTGATCTTGCTCAGAGATTAGAAACCCTAAGTCTGTGTGTTTCATCCCAAATCTCAGACTGATGGGTGACAATTAAATTAGGAGGGAGAGCAGAAGGTGGCTTGAAACCTGCACGGGGCGGGGGGAACAAAGCCCTGGGCCAACCTTCCCCGCCAACACGGCTGAGGTGAGAAATGCAACTGCTTGTGAAACTAGGGATGTGGGGTCCTGTGTAAAATGCAGACATGTCCTACAGTCCCTTCCCATTGTCCCACAGCCCCATTCCTCCATCCTTGCAGCCTATCCTGCCATCCTGCAGTCCCATCTCACTGTCCTATGGACACATCCTTTCATCCTTCAGTCCCATTTTTCCCTCCTATGGTCCCATCCCTCTATCATACAGCTCCATCCCTCTATCATACTGTCCGATCCCTCCAAAAGAGAGGTTCTGGGCTGTCCCCGTTGCCTGCTACCCCACAGGGATCAGCCACTTTGTCCTTTGGTGCATGGGGAAGGTCAGGGGCTGCATTGTAACAAATGCCAATGAATCGCTGGAAGTGCTGGTCCCAGGATGCGACAGGACAAATCTCTTAGCATCCCTATGGGAAAGCTTAAGATCTGGTTCCCAATCTCACCCCCAACAGCAGCAGAACAGATATTTTCCAACCCAGTGTCTGCTCCAGGCTTTGATCTTCCCAGATGCTGCTGCTGTGTTCAAGCAGTGCCTGTTTGAGGAGCCCTGACTTCGACAAAAAAAAATGGAAAAGCATCCACCAGGAATGGCCACAGCCCTTTGCCCTGATTTATTCCCAATCACAGCAACCTCCTGGAGTTCACATAAAAAGTAAAAACCCTGCTGTAAGCAAAACTAAAGGGGGTGGGATTGGCAAACTGGGATCGCACCCTCCATCCCCAGTCTGGAAATATCCAGGAGGCAGCAAGAGGCTGCAGGCTGGATGTGCTCGGATGCCCGTGCTGCCCTCCATCCTTGCTCTCCTCTGCCTGTGGAATGGGGAATGAACAAGCTGTCCATCCAGGCTAATTTGGGGAGAGATTTTAAGAGGTCTTTGGCGCTGGCAGGGAAGTCTCCTGACAGGGGACTTTGCAGCAGGTCGTTCTCATGCCTCATTAAGTCGGGAATTCAGTGTAACCCCATCCCAGGCAATGCCTGGAGCAAGTTCACTGCCTCGACTACAGGGTTTGATCCTCCTCTTCAGGGTAACGAAATCAGTCACCAAACTTGCCCTGAAAATCTGAAATTTGTTATTTTGAACTCATACCAGGGCAAGTTTTTCATATGGACCAATGTGGTTTACCACCCATCCTTCCCAGTGCTATATACCATGTTTTAACCCGGGCCAAAATTCACCTTTTTAGGGAAAAACAAGAAGATTTATATTCTGTTTAGTGTTATTTTCTTTGAATACACTTCCACTAAACTTATTTTCTCTGTGCATTTCTTCATTGTTACAGGGATACATATATAACAGGGAAAAAACCTCATGCTCAATTGCCTCGACTGTGAATCCATGTCTGCATATTCAGCTATACCTGCCTAGGCTTGATCATTATTATTAAAAATAATAATAATTAAAATTTTAATGACCCCAGGGATGCGCTGCAATTAGCACTACTCAAAGGTGATGGTTCTTCAGGAAGAGAAAATGAGAGCGCTGCAAATATCACTTGCTAAAGAGCCTTGCACGAAGGATTGTTTCCACCTTGAGATTCTTCATGGAGAATAAAAATACTGGACTCTATTCCTAAGGAAAGGCAAAGAGGGAATTGGCTTCACCATGCCAGGGACTGCTCAGGTGCCGAGCTAGGCTTAGACGCGATATTGAAGTGTGTCTGTGATGGGTGCAATCCACAACAGTGTTTCCCCCCCCACACGGCGTCTCTCAGTGCCTTCAGGTTTTCAGCCCATCAGGGTTTTTCACGCTTTCTCATTAAAATAAAGCCCTTTTCCCAGCTCAGAACTCCCGCGACAGCTTTTACATGCTTCACAGAGCCCCCTCGACACTCACAGCCTGTGCCAAGCATTGCCCTGGCACCGAAGAGGGACCCGACAGCGATCGCATCCTGACTCAGGGAGCAGAGGAACGCGGCAGGTCGGGACCTGGACTTGCCAGAGGTGCTGCCTTCCAAAAATCCGTTTTAATCCTGAATTTAAAACTTTCCAGCTTTCAGGCAGTTTCTTTTAATTCTTATAATTTTTTTAACCAAAACCCAAGCACTTTTGATTTAAAATCCATGTAATTAGACCCATGGTAAGGAATTCCCGGGATTCTGCCGCGCTGCCCTCGGCGATCCCGTAAATCCGGCACCCAAATCAGGACCTGGCCACGGAGAGGAGTCCCAGTTCCTTCTTCCTTCGTTAACAACCCTTTTCTGGACTGGCTCAGCTCATCCCCTTTTACCAGTACTATTTTAAAGCCTGGACGAAACCCACTTTTTGCCACCAAAATGCAGATCTGCAGCGCAAATCACTGGGCTCGAACCCCGCAAATCGCCACACTCAGTCTCTGGTACTTTAAAATCTGCCGGTTATTTATGCAACTGCAATGTTTCATTTGCATTATTATGGATTTAGGTTGCTTTTATTATTAAAAGCCCTTTTGAGACCACTGCAAAAAGGTGACTTTTTTTCCCCAAGGAATAGATAGCACAACAGTAAAAAACAAATATTTCTATGTCCTTATTGATATTCAGTTAATATCTGATTATTTAATTCATCCTGCTTTTTCCCCCTGCTTTCTACCTTCTCATGGCTTCAAAAAAAATATAAAAATTGCCTGATTGGTTAAAGCTTGATCCTTAACCTGTTCCCTATTTTGAACTATTTCATAGCACCCTAAGAAAAGCAAAAGGCATTGGCAAGGCCAAGCCTTCAAAGATGCCAAATTTTCCGTCTTTTAACATCTTAAAATAATACTAAAGATAACGCAACTCTTGCTAGACACGAAGGAAAAGTCAATCTCCAAAATTCAGGTTAAAGAACACAATCTTAAACTATATCTGCAGCCAAATTTGAGGCATTTTCTTTGTTAACCCCCTCTGAAGCCGACAGAAATGCCTTCATGGAGAGAAAGAAGGGAGGGAAAAAGCGATTATGAAACCACAATGCCAAGATCTGCCTCACATTTCTGTTCCACTTTTTCCCTCTTCCACTCCCCAAAATATAAAAGCAATATTTTAAGTCTTTTGGGCCAATTCTTGGTCATAGAAACCCGTGGCACTTAATGAAATGAAATGCTCCAAGACTGCGCTTGGCACAAGAGGTTAGGGCTGAGATTTTTTGGAGCATGAAGACACTGAAATATAGGGTTGGGTTCTTCAAATGCATCCGAATTCCCCAAAAAGCAGGATGATAAATGTGGATGCACTTCCTTTTCTCCTCCATCATCTCTCTCCCTCAGCGTTAAATTTCCCTTCCGTCTCCCTTTTTCTAGCCTAACCAACCTTTCCAAATATTTAAAAAACGCCTGAACATAGAAGATCCCAGAGGGATCACAGCCCAAACTCTGATTTCCTCATTTTCCAAACAATTTCCCCCCATTTTACACCTAAAGCCAGCTCAGGAAGGGGCTCCCCACATTCACACAAAACATCGTGGTCCTGCACACCACGATCATCCCCATCACAGCCCCTAAATCTGCTTGTAGCCAGCAGGCCCTTGCGCAGGAGCTCGGTACATGATTCCTTGTTCCTCCAGGCCTACCCTCAATTAGAATTATTTCTGGGCAATTGTGGCCTTTAAGGATATTTTGAAATCGTGGATTTGCAGAGTAAGTGTGTGTGCAGGCAGTCATGGCATGGCGAGGACCCTCATGAATTTCCACCAGAGCAGCAGCTCCGATGGTGACATCCCGAACACCCAGAATTTCTCCCTCCTGCCCTTCACACCTTGATCTACACACAGAGGGGTTCATGCACCAAAATCTGGCGGTATGACAGGGTGAAATCCTCCCTCCCTCTCCCAGCCCAGGCTGTGCTCACCGATGTTGGCGTGCCGGGCAGCGGCAGGCGTCCCTCGGCTCTGCAGGTTGTGCAGCATTGGGCTGTCAAAGGGCGAGGAAGTCCAGGTCGTGGCCATTTCGGGGCTCATATAAGCCGGGTAGGGGCTGGAATAGGAGGTGCCGAAGCCCCTGCTGTACTGCTCCCTCCCGTTAGCGGAAAGGTTCAAGGAGCTGCTGTAAGCCGCCGCCGCTTCTCGGGAAGAGGTGGCAGGGATGGGGGTGCTGCCGGAGAAGGAGAACCGAGGTGACACGGGAGGGTGAGAAGATCCAGGGTTGTAAGCAGCGCTTTCGGCTCCGGGTTGAGTCCAGATGGAGTGGCTGGAGACGGGGCTGCCTTGCTGGGAAGAGCCGCTGCTCTGCAGGTAGGGCAAGCGGGGGAGGATGGAGGTGACCCTCGGGGTGGGGACGTAGACGG